CATAATATGCACTGTTAGTTGATTATTTACCTGCCGCATTAACGGGAGAGGACGTGCAAACGTTACCGCTGCTGCTGGGTTGAGATTCACGAGTCCGGAGCGGAATTAAAAACATGACATTCATTTAAGGTCATCGCGTGTTTTGTGAGCAAATGCTTTTGCATATTCGTAGTGTTTCCTCCCTTAAATGAAGTATCTACTTTGCAAGTATTGCAAGTTGCCCTGTTGTCATCCGTTCTCGTAAACTTTTGAGCGTTTGAGCTGCTTAGGCGCCGTGTTTCTTGCCAGGTAAATGACGCTCCGCAACGTGGTGACGTCATTCGGGGCGACTGGAATCGATAAGGGAATCGTTTGCAAAAATGTCAAACAATTCCAAGGAATTGAAACAGTGGGAACCGGTTCTCAACAAGAACCGGTTTTCGATACCCATCCCTACAGCTGATAGCAACAAACTTAGAACAAACAGTTTATGAGGGGAAGAGATGAAGCAAAAAAGCCAAAGACCAATTGTTTTATTAGTTTTTTAAACCCACATCCTTTATTTCTTTATTTATTTTAGTCTTTTGGAGCAAATAGGAAAACAATGAAGGAAACAGATCAGAGCGTCAAGTTTCAGTTACAGCTAAACTGTTATTTGCACTATTGCCTGTTTTCAGAGAGGAAGGCTGAAACATACGTATGTTCTTTACTTCTTTGACAATGCAAAACTGCACTAAATATTTTGTCTATCAGCTCTGAGAGTAATTTCATGAGAGGACTAAGAGATCTGGTTAAAAATTTATGAGCAGTGGGATTTGTTCAGTCCTCCAATGGGAGCTAAACTGTGGCACAGAGCGTTGGGATGCTGTCTTGGCATGGTCACATGGACTCCAGCAATTGGATGGCTTCATCTGCCTGAAAGTGGTCTTAACATTACTCACATGCACCAATGAATCCTGTCAGCCAAACAAGACTGTCCACCTTAAGAAGCTTTGATAACTGGACCTGACCATAAGTACACTCAGTTGTTGTCTTCTCTTGGATCTTTCTCCAATGACATTTAAACTGTTGCTCTTACACGTGACTACACAGCAAATCCAGCATGTCCAAATTAACACATGTTCTCACTTTCATTAGAATTTTGTTTATCAAAAGGTCTGACATGGTAAATGCAAATAACAGCATTCTCATCACTTATTTCTTCAATACAATATGCATGTCCTTCATTCATCCCTTTGTGGAACTTCAACGCACTTCTGCTCTCCCCCATATTCCATCTTCACAAGCATATCCTGTGTGGAGATTGAATAAAAATTAGTTGACACTAATTAATGGCACAAATAATCCAGTAAACAATTGCAGCACAGTAAAAAAAAAAAGAATCCTCTTTGTGTAAAGTATTTTCCCAAAAGACAAGGACACAGGCAACAGGTAATACTGAACTAAATGTAAAACCTCAACCTTTTTCATTTTTACCTAAACCGTGTGCACAAAACTCTGGAGGGATCTATGCTAACGCTGAATCCAGTCAGGACGTCAGCTACTGCTGTTTGCTCGTTTTTTTTATGGGCGATCGTTTTCAGGCTTCAAGTAGCACCATTATACCAACATTTCACATTCTAGACATTGTTTTAGGTGTATTTGACCAAAAGTTTGACTGAAAATTCACATGCAAGCTTTTTCAAAGCTGTGGTATTTGCCCGCAAACAATACCTTTCAGCTAGCTAAAACAGAATATTATGCTATCAGCGAGCAACATGGCTAATGCCTTTCACACAGCTTTGTCTCAACTCCAAAGAGCCACAGAAGTAAAAGCTTATAATAACAATTGAAACAATCTTTGAAAAAATGACTTACCAAGCATGGCAAACAACTCAAATATGTAGAGCAAAATGTTCTGAAACGGCTTCACTTCAGCTTCGATTGGAGCCGTGCTGTGGGGCGGAGTCTGTGAATTTACTCTGTTGGTGTCATAGCCCCTGTAGGAGTTCAGAGTTAAGAGGTCAAGAGTTAATGTTTCCATTGTAACGCCTCCAGATTTGACAGAGAAACACTCATTTTTAACACTCGATTTTAACTCCTATCATTTTACACCTCAGAGTTACATTAAAAGAATGTGACTGTGCTTAGAGTAAAATTAACTCTACTTTTGCAAGAAGACTATTAACACCAAAACATTTAACACTTTTGAATTTGCTGTCGTGACATACCTCAAACTGAAGAAGTGCCTTTACATAATGAAACATGTCGCCATGAAGAGAAGTTTTGTCTTTATGTCATCTAAACAGGATTTGTAATGTGACTCCAACTTCTGTTAGTAATGTTGTGTTACTGTTGAAATGTGAACTGTTTCTTTAAAGGGCCCATAGTCACAGTCCACACCAACACAAGTTCAACATGAGTGAAACAGAAACTCTGACTCCGTGAAAGGTTCATGGGTCAACATCACATTAACCATTATGGAGTCTCTGATATAAAACCATGATATGATCCAAATGGAGGATCATGTTTATTATTATGGAGAAAACCACAGAGAGAGGCTCAAACTGTTTTTGTGTCACGGTAACTTCTGCTGTGAGTTTAATATTCACTCACTTTAATGTTCACCTTAGAATCCTTTTTGTCAGGTGGATGTTACATTCACCAGCTGTCTGTTGGTCTTTGGTTTTACTTTAATGTACAATGACTCTACATTTTGCAATCAAGTCAAACCGAGGACAGTAAGGATCTCCAGAACCATTCATATTCATGAGAGAACTCAGAGAAGTTTTTCAGAAGATAGTTACCAAATTATGGTAGTAGAATAAAAATGTACAACTAAAAATACAAATTTGTTACAGTTCCCAAAAAAGATATAAATGTTTTGGTTGATGTGTATTTTCAGTCTTTACTGCATCATTGGCGATGACAGGAAGGAAGAAGCTTTTTATTTGTGAATTTAAGGCAACTAGCAAAAAAATTATGGCTTTTAAAATGTGTTGAACACATTTCCAACATAGTAACATCGACAGTATATTTACACTATAAACACATGCAATAAACATTTACTACACAGTACACATAACAGCAAACATTTGTCTTCTAGCAAACCATCAGCATATTTTCAGTGAGAGATTTCAAAAGCTGCTGGGTTAAACCGAACAATAAAAAGCACTAAATACAAATGTATTTCTATTCTTTTTTAAGAGCCTCAATAATATTTGTCTTAATGAGGTTTCTGCTGTGATGTCACATGTGCACAGAGTTATCCACCATACTGAACGTGATCAGAACCACCTGAAGTGTGCATTCATGAAGAGGGCGTTACACCAAAAACCTCTCCTTGCTTTGACTGCTAGCAGATTGCCACAGTTGTCCATAGTTTGGATGGAAGAAGCTGACTTCTGCAGGAACATGCCAGCTGACCACTGAGGAGTAGTAAAACTTTAAAAGTGCAACGCAAACCAGAAACGGAGAATATTAGCCTTCAAAATAAAAGAAACACCTCAGTGCAGCAGTTGAGAACAAATGGTGTTTGCAGACAAGTTGGTGTTTTCCATCAAACTGGAGTGACTGCAGCAATCCATTAACTAACCAAGGAATTGTAAGGCTTTAACCAACCAGTTGTATTTTTCCCTGGTGACAGGTGGTTACCAGAGCTCCAGTCCTGTGTGACTAAGGTCCTACTCACTTAACCCTACATGACCTGTTCAAAATAGCAAAATAATTGTCATGTGACTTCAAATCCTTAGTATTATCCAAATAAACCATTTCAAACACCATTTAATTAACATCTTATTTATGAAGATAAAAAAAGGTGGGTCTCTATGTTTTTTAATCAGGGTTTAATTTTTCTATCAAATTATGAAGCCAGAGATACAAAAAACACTATATTCAGCTCATATTCATATTCAGTTATTATTTTCCTCTTTAGTTTATGTGTCTGTTTGCTAGAAAGGACATGTTCTCTTCATAACACAAACATAAAACAGTGACTCACCGGCACACTCATCCACATACCAACATACATACTAGTAATAAATAAAAACACAATATAATTTAAGAGGAGTAATATTCTTCTGTTTTCATTTTATTGTGCCACGTGTATCACCACATCTAATCAGAAAGCCTCTAATCTCTCCTCCAGCCATAAAACACATGCAGCAACACGTTGTATATGGGAAAAACAAAAAAGCAAAAGCAGTTTGAACTTATAAAGAACAGAAAAACATATACAGATTAAACACAGAGGCACTGAATTAAGCTACTAAATGAAAATATGGCCCAAAGCCTTCTATGAAGAAAGGTTGTGGCAATAAAAGGTGAACATTTTATAAACACAAAGCAGTGACTTTGTTTTGGTGATTGATGTAAATCACCTTCTAACTGGCTTAAAAAATGCCTCCACTGCCGTATGTTATCTACCTATTATTCTATTATTATTTATCTTGTTGATCACTGATTTATGTTGACTTTCAGATACTGCTGTAGTTGGTTTTTAGGCCTACCATTTCTTTTGTTGTTCATTTGTCCACATATTTTTTAAGGACCCAGTGCACACCATGGTAAAATACATTTTTGGCTCATAGCTCGTTGATACAAATTAACGGCGGTGAGACTGTCGTCTTTGGTATTTTTTGTTGTTGTTTTGAGATTCAAATAAAAAAAAATAGAAACCTGTGATCTGATTTTGGAACAGATTGGTAATAACAAAGTACCTAAAGATACAACATTTAATTAAAATTAACCATCTGCTTGTTAGCAGGTTTTAAATCTCACATAAAAGCGAGGCCCTGCCATTGTGCATACATTTAATAACATTTTACCTTTTTTTATGCAGAACAGAGAAACCTTGCTTTAGTAAATCTTAAATAAAGGAATAACACAACTTTGTAATTCTGCTTCCAGGATTATTTTATCACTATTATTAGTTGCATTATTTTACTTCCTTACTTCCTGTGCTGAGTCAGTTCTGCATGGCAGCTTTGGCTAACCAAGAAATGGAGCTGCAATTTTGGGAAAACTAGCAAGAAGGAACTACTGATGAGTGCAATGCTAAAATTGCATCTAGCATCGTTAAAGCAACATTTTATTGCACAAAGAGACACAGAATATCTTTTTAAAACTACTTGATCATTTTTAATAATCCTCACAGAGTCAGATGTCTTAAGTCTTTCTAGCTGAAATTTTAGGTAGGAATAACATTGCAGTATACTCACAGGACAAAACTGGGACTTAAGCATTTTCATTGCTACAACTTTTTTCGACAGATGACTGTGGTCTTTTACTGGACTGTTATTAATAATAATATCAGTGAATGTTGGCAAATTACGTAGTTTGGAAGCAAAGTTTCAGATCACACAAAGACATGAAGAAAAATCACATCCAAAAACATACAGGCACAGAAAACACGTCAAATAAAATCAAATCAAAACACACATCCAGCAAGACACATGTGGAGAATTTGGTCTTTAGGTTGATACATTCATGAAATGGAGAAGGCTAATTGTCATTTATTCAAGTACAACTCAAGCGGGTCCATCACACTTATGTTTAAAATGGAAGCAAAGATGTGCTTACTTTGACGAGCATTAGTGTAGTTTTTCAGACATTTTAAGTTAAGCTTACAACATTTTAGGGATAAACTGTCCTTTACTGTCCTCTGAGAACTGAGTAATTATCTGATGTGTTAACACACAGCACATAATAATAATAATAATAATAATAATAATAATAATAAAATCTTGTTTAGGTATAGATTGTGCTTATCCTGATTCATCTGTACATGATTAGACACTAAAGTTGCTCTTCATGTACACTGTAGATCTACATAATTTATGTTATTTAACAGAAAGCAACACAACATAAACAAAGAAACAAACAGACATCTTCCAGAACATGTGTGATCATAACCAAAGCTGTAATCATCAAGAACGTCGACTAGAATTAACGTAAAGCCTTTAGTCTTGGTGTTTTCTCCCAACAGACCGTTGAGCAATCATGGAGTGAGGGACGGCTTGGTTATGCAAATATTTCCCAAAGGCAGAGCTGCTTCAGTATGAAGAAATCATCTCTTTGAGCAGGTAAAGAACTACATTTCTTTAGCCGAGTAATCATTAACTCACACTTTATACCAAATCAGGTTGCCGCTTGTGCCAGGGTTAGCATGATTTTCAGGGCAACTTAATCTCAGTCTAAGGCAACGAGAATTATGGCTTTAAAAATGTATTGCACATATTTCAAACACAGTAATTTTGGACAATATTGCAATTGATGCTGAAATATTGCAGTTAGCCTTTGACCACCAGCACTGACTCAATTTGAAGATCATCAAAGGTAAAACAATCACAAGTGACAATATATATTTCAAAGTAATCAGTTATATATTAACTTATTTATTCAAAATATTAGTTAATTTATTAGCTAGCTCACTTTGAATTAAAAAAAAATGTTAAGGGTCGTTAGTTTTTGTTTTATAAACTATTTATGCTTAACTTTGTTTGACCGGTTACGTTTTACTGCTTTACCATAAATAATGTATTTTCAATCCAGTGTTTACGAAAGACTGAGGTTCGAGTTTAGTGGCAAAAAAAAAGGTAAGTATAAATGCAGATTTCAAAGTAAGCAGTAATTCCACATTATATTCTATGTCCATTTAAATATTAGCTATACTAGTAAGATTGGGAGTTTTGTATCTGAGGTTGCTTAATGTTGATCTCAAGAGAAATCTGGTTTTAGGATATGTATTAGTGGTACTGTGATTAATGTTTGAGGCCAAAACAAAAGGGGTGTAGCAAGTAATCAGTCCATGGTTTGGTTCATACCTTGCTGTTTTCTTTAATTCAATTATTCTTAGGTATTTCCAGGGGACTGTCTTTGGATGATCTTTCAACACCAGACTAGCGTGCCTTAACTAGAAAGTAACAGTTCCACATGGCATCAGAAGATGGAGCTAAGTGGGAAGTGATTCATTTCTCTGAATTGATACACCTACACTGGTTAATTTAGTTTTTTGTTTGTAACGTCCAAAACGACTATTATGACAGGTAACTCCGATCCGAGAAGTCTAGAAGAAAAGACATAAAAATCTAATATTACGTGTTTCAGATACAGGATGAACTGAAGGGCTGTATAAAAAGCACCATTCAAGGATTTTTTTAACTCAAGGAACAACAAAGAAGAAACTTAATGCATCTGTTATGTTGTAGATGTTTTTACCTGTTAGATTGTTTTGTTTTTGAGCTTTTTATTTCAGGCTTCTAAGAGACGATCAGCGCCACCAAAGCAGCCCTGCGTTTGAGACATAGAACGTGGACTCTGACGTACCGACAGAATAACTCAGAACTTACTAACAGCACAAATTTGTTTGTATTGCTGTTAAATGTGTGCGTTTACAGCCATTACTGCGTTGTTCTTTTAAATCTGCATATTGCCCAGTCTGTGCAAGCTTGGAAGGAGTGTACTACACCGTATCAGTGTTTCCTGTTTAAGCCACAGTCGGTGAGAAGGCTGTGATTGCTTATGCACGGACACACTTGTGCGTCGCGTGCATGTGTGGCATGTAGGAAAAGAAAAAGGCAAAGAACGTGCAAACTGCTAAAGATGAACAGTGTGTTCTAGTATTCATCTTTAGTGGTTTGCACTTCACTTCCTGTTTATGATTCATAGACAAAAAAAAGAAAATCATGTCTTCCACGATAAATAACTGAAATCATAAACAACAGATTTATATTTTGGGCCCATTCAGACAGAGAAATGCAAGGAAGCTAACACAGAGCTGCAAAAGAGAACTTGGTGACTGGATTTCCAAGACGATTTGTCAGTGACTGGGTCTCTCCTGTGGGCTGACATATAATTGCTAGTTTTTTTATCTTGTGCTTTTACATGAAAAAGTGCAGCAGTCCAATCAGATATTAGCTATGAAAGACTTCATAGTTGTTCTCCTATGCAAAGTGCCTCTGAGTGAAAGAGCCGTATGGACTCAAAAAGAGCCTGTATCAGTTTTTAAGTTACAGATAAACCTGCACTGATTGAACCATTGCTCTACCAGTGAAGTCTCTATTTTAACTGGTAGAAGAAGTGCATGTGCAAGTAATTATAATCCAATCTTTCCAAACTGCAGAAAAATAAATAAAAAATGTAAAACATAATTCAGAGGAAAAAAAAAACCCAGGTGGAGGTGTCCTCTTAAAACCCAAACACACCTCCACTTCTTTCTTCACTCCAGCTAAACAAACAGCTGCAGTCTGACTCATGTTTTTGTGTATTATGGGGTGCCGGCAGGTGATCCTTTGAGGCTGTTAAGGGCTGCGTGGATCCTGAAGTGCAGTCTGGACTCCATGGAGTAGTCCTTGTAGTTCGTCCTGATGATGACACACAATCAGAATCTCAAATAAACACGCGTTTCGCAATCCTGCCTGCGCAGGAATGTTTTGTTTGGTTAGTATTTTTTTCTAAACCACTGTAAATACCTCACTCGTGCATTTAGTGCCACCTAAACAATGCTGTTTTTCCTGTCTGCGCAGCTCGAGTTATGGTTGCAAATTTCCACTGTAGCATCCTTTATATACACTATGAAGTGTCTTGATGCATGCTCAATCATCCAGGTAAGTAAATCTCTAAAAGTTGATTCTGTTCATCTGGACGTAGCATTTTCGTTTTCTCCAAATGAAAATGAATAGAATATAAGTGTGTGTGTGTGTGTGTGTGTGTGTGTTCATTTAAAGGTATCTAAAGAGCAGCGACTCCCAAACTGTACGCTGTAGCTCCCTGGTGGGGTATTAAGGTACTTCAGGTGAGACTTGGGAAGTCATTTAAAATAAAATAAAAAGAATAAAAGAACTGAAATAGTTATTTCTTGTAATTCATTTGTAATGCCATCTAAAATGTTAAGGACAATACAATATAATTATTTCATATTTCCATTTCTATTCCAACTTTTTTGAGATATTTTGATGCCTTCAAATTTATTTATTTTTTTGTGTGTCTCATAAACGTGTGTTTATAAGATTTCCAATGATTACATTTAGTTTTTATGAAACTTTTTACCAGCATCCCAACACATGCTCTAATTGGGGTTACAGTAGAATTTCCATTAAATATGTACATTTTAGACAAATCCAATTAATCCAATGAATTAAATAAATTATAAATTATATATAAATGGAGGCATGGCTGTCAGGTGGCAGAAGTAATGAAAATAAACAGGAAATGCTTCATTTTCTGTTTGTGTGATCAGCACAGATAAGACTGAAAGTTTGGGGGCGCTGCAGATTTTCACATTACAGAGTTAGAGCAGTCTGTTTAGGAATGGCTTATAAAGAGTGTTTAAGCAGAACTTACTTGGCGTTCTCGATGTATGTGGTGGCCTTGAGGAAGTCTCCCTGTTGTTTATACAGCAGACCCAACTCATAAAGGGTGAAAGGAATCAAGTAGTGATCATATCTGATCCGACCCTCACTGAAAGTAAAGCCCATTAAAGCATTATCTTTATTTTCAGAAGGTAAACCACAGCATTAAGTGGCTACACAAGGTCATCGGCATGCTTTTGTGTTCTTATCTGTGCTTGTGTTACCTGGAGAGCACCTGTGTGAAGCACAGCTCAGCCTGCAGTAACCTGCCCAGGTGCTTCAGGCAGAGTCCCTTCAACATCTGGACCAGACAGCTGTCATCTGTGTGAAACTCTGACGGATCTGAATGAGAGATGGACTGTTAGACATAGATTTACATAAGCTCCTAACCTTTCATTAGCCATGCGCTAATATTCAGCAGTAATAACCTTACATGACCTAATGCCTTCTGAGATAAAAGGATTCAGAATGGAGACTTAAACATATTTAGCTCCTGGAATACACCAGCTGTTTTTTGGCTGTATGTTTTAAGTCATTGTCCATCTGCATTATGAAACGCCGCCCAATCAATGTGACTACATTTCGCTGAATATGTGCAGACAGTATGTTTCTTAACATCTCATATTCCTTCAGCTGCTTCTGTCCTGTGTCACATCATCATTAAACACTGGTGTCCCAGTGCCACCTGTAGCCACGCACGCCCAAGACATCACACTGTGTCCGCCGTGTTCTACAGATGATGTGGTGTGCTTTGGATCATGACCTGTTCCACTCCTCCTCCGTAGTATTTTTCTCACCATCATTCTGGTAGAGGTTGGTTTTGGTTTCATCTGTCCAATAAATGTTTTTCCAGAACTGTGCTGGTTTTTTTTTTAGAAATGTTTTAGCAAAATTCAATCTAGCCATCCTATTCTTGAGGCTTATAAGTGGCTTGCACCTTGCAGTGAACCCTCTGTATTTACTTTCACGCAGTCTTCTCTTCATGGTAGATTTGGATATCAACTCCTGGAGAATGTTGACGTGTTTGGCTGTTGTGAAGGGGTTTGTCTTTAGCAAGGAAACGATTCTGTGATCATCCACCACTGTTGTCTTCCGTGGATGTCCAGGTCTTTTTGCATTGCTGAGTTCACCTTTCTTTCTCAGGATGTACCAGACTTTTGCCACTCCTAATATTGTAAAAATTTCTCAGATGGGTTGTTTCTGTTTTTGCAGATTCAGGGCGGCTTGTTTCACCTACATGGAGGGCTCCTTTAACCAAATGCAAGCACCACACCTCAAATCAACTCCAGGCCTTTTATCTGCTCAACGTTTAATGACATAGTGAAGGAACTGCCCACACCTCATAAACCCTTCATCCAATTTGAATGTGGACAGCAGAGTTCACACATTGTTTGTATATAAATGTATTTAGAACATGTTTCAGTAAACAGGTAAAAAAATCCAAGTATAAATGGCCTAACTGTAATAATGAGCTCACTGTATTCAAATGGCCTCCACAGTAACCAGCTCTCTCACAGATCTCTTCAATAGAGCACCTTTGAGATGTAGTCCAACAGCAGTTTCAAATCATGGATGTGAAGCTAACAAATCTGTCAAACTGTGTGGAGCTATCATGTCAACATGGTCCGAATTTTCTGAAGACTCTTTCGAACCCCTTGTTCAATCATTAACACAAAGAATTAGGGAAGTTCTCAAAGCAAAAAAGGCTCCAACAAAATGTGTCAAATGAGTGTAAAATACCCAAGCTTTATCGAAGACTTAAATGTAATTAGATTCTTAACAAAACAGCTGTGGTAACATCTTATAGCCGACTCCATGTGCACAGTTTTGTGATGTCTCAGGAGTTTTAATCAGTGTAGATGCATGAATACTAATATCAGCTGCTTACATGCAGACTTGAAATCACTAACATGAGCAAAATAGAAGCAGGCCCAGGACAGAACCCTGTGGAACGCCTGTTTTACTCTCATGAGATACTATTGGCAGCACACAGTGTTAGCAGTAGTGCTAATAGCAGAGGTGCAGTGTTGAGCTCACTGGGGTCATTGCGAAGCTGCTCCTCTGCCTTCTCTATGGTTACCAGCAGGGACTCGGCACAGTCGGCTCGCTTTCCGACGATGGTGAAACCATTCCACACGTACATCATCTCCTAAAAGAGACAACAATTGTGCGTTATACTTCACTACCAGCTCATTCAGAGTTCATCACACTCAACTAACCACTCTCAAAGTAGTGAGTTTATTATGTGCATGTGAATGTTTGTGTACCAGCAAAGGGATGACCAGGGGGATGGGGTTAGCAGCTTTGTAACGCCTGGACTTCCTCACTGCAAATTTCTCCGTTGGAATGGACTTCCCAGCCAGGCGCTGTTTCAGCCCCTCCACCTGCCTACACACACACACAGTCTTACTGCTAATCCTGGCCTTAAACATAGCTCGGCTCTACCTACTTCACATAGGTCGATTCAGCTCAGGGTGTTTGAAAAATACATGTAAAATACCGGCTGACCTGAAGAGCTCCACAACATTCTCCCCAGTCTTCTTCAGCTCCTCCTCTGACATCATGCTTAAAATGGCTGCCTTCTGGTAAACATAGATAGCCTGCAGAGAGCAGGTTTTATATTGAACTATCGCAGACTTTTATGGTTCCATTCATGTGCCTGATATATGAAACACATCTGTTTTTCTTCTGAGCTTACCTTGGACCAGCGACTCTCCTTGCACAGCAAGTCAGCATATTGGTATGCCTGTTCCCACTCCTGCTGGTACGAGTGAGTCCACATGAGCTCCCAGTAACACAAGTGGTGAATCTGCTTCCACTCCTGCTGGCTGCTCACACACTCCTCGTACTTGGCCCGAGCCTAAAAGAAACACAGAACACTTAGACCTGCTGTTCAGGTTTGTAAAGGAAGTGCAGAGGGATGGGAAAAACCAGTGAAAAGGGAAAGACTTCTATTAACTTCATTTTAATTCCACATAAAGTAGAACAGAGAACAATTTTACTTCTTTGTTTAGCTGATAAATGTGCTGAAATCCTTGCGCTGAAACGTCTAGTTTTCATTTGGACTTTGGCACTGAGGGTCTGAAAACACAGGGACAAACCTTCTCAAAGTTTCCTCGCAGCGCGGCAATGCGAGCAGAGTAGAAGAGGATTATGGAGCCCTAAAAGAAAAAACAAACATGATGTTTATTTAGTTACGGCTGAGTTTACTTAGACGACTGTTTGCGGTTTACTTACTTTGGGGTATTTCTGTTGGTATGGCTCCAGCAGAGCTTCAGCTTCCACCAGGTTCCCCTCTGCAGTTCCTGATCAAAGAGAACACAACAACATTCACTGCCTAATCTGCTAAGCAGCAGAAGATGCTTCTGGCTTTATTTAGGCCTTTGTGGTCGGACATTTGAAGCCAGATTAAGATGGTGAAGCTGAGGTTTCTCTACCAAGACTGAACCCCCCCCCCCAAAAAAAAAAAACATTAAAGTGTTTCCTACCCAGTATGAGTGAGACGTATGTGTGGTAGAAGAGCAGAGTCAGAACACAGAGGATTGACCGCAAACTGTGGCTGGAAGCTCCCTCTCTCAACTGGGACAAACCAAAGCCCTGCAGACAGATAGAGAAACAGTATGATTTTGTCTGTGTAGCCTATAGTGGGTTTTTAAAATGTTATTTTAAACAGAGCTTGTACTCACCCTGTTTCCTGAGAACCCGATAAACTCCAACAACCTCAAAATTCTCTGAGGGAGGAGAGACAACATCTGGAAGACAAAAAGATTTCCCTAAAATCAATCATTCAATAAAATCAACAAAAATGTGCTTTCAATGAACCATTATGTGCCAGATTCAATATAACCTGTGGATTGATGTAAAAAAGAAAGGATGTGGGGCCAGTGATGGTGCGTCCAACGACCAGTTCAGCTGTGAAACAAACTGGCTGAAATGGACTCTCGTTAATCTTAAGAGCTTAAAAGGAGGTGTTTAACTGAAAAGTGACGATTCTGACTCGATTAATGAAAAAATTAGTGTAAGGACACATGAAGTATATGAAGCCGTTCATAGGTTTATAGGACTCTCACTAATATTTTTCTTTTATCTGTACTTTCACATTAAAATGCCAACCAACGTGCTTCATCAGCTGCACTGTGTGGACGTTTTAGCTGCTTCCATCCATAATAAAGAAAATTTGTAGATTTCTTGTAGATTATATTAAAGTAATAATATAGATAAATATACAATACAGAAAGCATTTACATTGGCCTTTTTTTGGATCCGTAAAAGTTTGACCCTCTGGCCTGATGATCCAGTGGAGAAAAAAAGATGGACACTGGATGTGCTTTATTCTGAGCGAGACGGCATCGTCCTAATTACGGCAGATTAAACCAGCATTAAACTTACCTACATTAACTGACTCCTGTGGATTAAAAAAACAACAACTCACCAGGTTGAAAGAGCCAATGCCCAGCTTGACTCCACCCTCGAACTGTCTAAATGAATCTGATTGGCCGGCCACGTCTTGAGTGGCATTGAGCACATTCTGACAGTCCCTATTGAATACATAACAATCATGTTAACAATGATATTTCTACTAAAATACATTTAAAATGTTTCATTTCCTCCATAAATCATTCACTCACTTGTAGATTTGGTAGCTGGTCCGAATCTTGATCCCTCCTTTGATGAAACTGATCATGTTCTCATCCTAGAAAAAGGAAATATAGATATAATATATTGTGGCGGACCACCAGGTGGCTCCACTCACACACAAGTTGAAAGGAAGTGTGGGGTGGAGATTTTGGCACTGACTATATGTGAAGTTCTGTCAGTTAATAAAGTTGTTGGAGTGAGACACTGAGACCTCTCCTGTCGTTGTTAATTACCTCCACATTGGTGACCCCTGTAGTGAACATGCTAAGGCTCGACGACGAAGCCAGCTCTGGCCTGGAAGCATCGGCGGCCGCCGGACCTTCACCTCCGCCGATGGCTGCGTTTGCTGTGGCGCTTAAATTGCCGGATTTTTGGCTTCACGATCCTCCTTCATGGTTCATGCACGTAGAAGCTCAGTTTGCTCTTCGTGGAGTTTCAGCCGACGACACCAAATACCACCATGTGGTGGCCTCACTTGACCCGCTGTCAACCCGCCGTGTGATGACTCTCCTCCGGGATCCCCCAGCCCAGGGCAAGTACGCCGCCCTCAAGGGGCTGCTGCTGCGGCGTTACTCCCTCTCTGATGCTGAGCGGGCCGAGAAACTCCTTTCCATCGCGGGCCTGGGCGACGGCACCGCCCTCGAGCTCATGGAGAGCATGCTGTCCTTGCTGGGCGCGGAGGACGGAGGATTTCTCTTCACCCACCTCTTTCTTCGACAGCTGCCGGCTCCAGTGCGCGCTGGCCTTGCCAACTCCCCGCTATTGGCCACGAAGGATTACCGCTCCCTTGCGGAAGAGGCGGATCGCATCCTCCTGGCTACCAGGACTTTCGGCGTCCAGACGGTTATTCAGGACCCACCAGCGTTTTCCCCCTCCCCCTCACCGATGCTCCACGGGCCCTCCGACTCGTCCACTGTGGCCGGAATCGCTGCACGGCGGCACCGCGGAAAGGGGCTTTGTTTTTATCACCAGCGTTTTGGAGCGAAGGCACGGCGCTGCCTCCCGCCTTGCAGTTTCCAGACCCAGGGAAACAGGCATGTCAGCGCTCTGTAGCAGCCGCGACCGCTGGCAACAAGGAAAGGCTGCTTTTCTTAGAGGACTCGCGCTCGGGGAGGCGTTTCCTGGTGGACTCCGGCTCACAGAAGAGCCTTCTTCCCCCGGCTGGCTCGGACAGGCTAGCTGAGGGTTGCGGGCCATTGCTAACAGCGGCTAATGGCTCTCCCATCAAAACCTTCGGTGAAAGGTTGGTGACTGTTTGCTTTCACGACCGTGACTTTCAGTGGAACTTTGTTGTTGCTGCTAGCTCTGTGCCTATAATAGGCGCTGATTTTCTTTGTGCTCACGGACTACTGGTTGATGTGGCTAACAGACGTTTAATTGATGCTGTGTCCTTTTCCTCATTACCCTGTTTGACTCGGGGTGCTCAGCCCGTGGTGCATGCTAACTCAGTAGATTCGGGTGACGTTTTTCAGTGTTTGCTTTCTGAGTTTCCCTCACTCACTGTCCCCACTTTCTCGAGCACGGTGACGAAGCATGGGGTAGAGCATTACATAACTACAGTAGGGCCCCCGGTGTTCGCGCGCGCGCGCCGCCTCGACCCCGCCAAACTGGCTGTCGCTAGGGAAGAATTTGCCACCATGGAGCGTCTGGGCATCGTGCAGCGTTCGAACAGTGCCTGGGCTTCTCCGTTACACATGGTGCCTAAATCTGATGGTCGGTGGCGACCTTGTGGGGATTTCCGCCGTCTTAATAATGTCACGGAGAACGATCGTTATCCCATTCCCCACATCCAAGATTTTTCCGCCCATCTTGCGGGGACCTCGGTTTTTTCTAAGATCGATTTGGTACGGGGATATCACCAGGTTCCCGTGCGCGCGGAGGATGTCCCCAAAACCGCCGTAATTACACCTTTCGGCCTTTTCGAGTTTCTGCGCATGCCGTTTGGCCTGAAAGGTGCCGCCCAAACCTTCCAGCGGTTGATGGACTCGGTCTTGCGCGGGCTGCCCTTTGTTTTTGTATATCTTGATGATATACTGGTGGCCAGCAGCTCGAAGGAGCAGCACATGTTCCATCTGCGTCAGGTTTTTCAGCGTTTGGCGGAGCATGGACTGATTATTAATCCGTCTAAATGCCAGTTTGGGTTGCCCGTTCTCGATTTCCTTGGGCACCGTGTTTCCGCCGAGGGCGCGGTTCCGTTGCCTGACAAAGTCCGAGCTGTTTCGGAATTTCCGCGTCCCACGACTGTTAAGGCACTGCAGGAATTTTTGGGGATGGTGAATTTTTACAACCGTTTTCTCCCCAGAGCGGCACATCTGCTGAAGCCCCTTTATGGGGCGTTAAAGGGTAAAAAAGCTAATGACCCCGTTGACTGGTTTCCGGACAGCATCCAAGCGTTTTCTGATGCTAAGTCAGCATTAGCTAATGCTGCCCTTCTGGCCCACCCATCCCCTCAGCGCCGATTGCGTTGACCACTGATGCGTCGGACATAGCGGTGGGTGCGGTGCTGGAACAGCGAATCTCGGGTGTCTGGCAACCGCTCGCCTTTTTCAGCCGTACGCTACGTGACAGCGAACGCAATTACAGCGTTTTTGACAGGGAGCTACTGGCGCTCCACCTGGCATCTCGTCATTTCCGGTTTTTTCTCGAGGGTCGTCACTTTACCGCATACGTGGACCACAAACCCTTGACGTTTGCCATGTCCAAGGTTTCTGATCCATGGAGTGCACGCCAGCAGCGCCAGTTGGCAGCCATTTCTGAGTTTACCACGGACATTCGGCACGTGGCTGGTAAATCCAATCATGTGGCTGACTGTTTGTCCCGTGCGCTGGTTTCTCCCGTCTTTCTCGGCATAGACTACTCCGCCATGGCTGCCGATCAGAGCGGTGACCCTGACATCCTCGCGCTTAAATCCACCCAGACGGGCCTCATACTGGAGGACAGACCCGTGCAGGACGGTGGTCCCCTCCTCGTCTGTGACGTTTCCACCGGCCGCCCTCGCCCTGTGGTTCCCGCTTCCTGGCGTCGTCAAGTTTTTGACTCGGTACATGCTCTCTCTCATCCAGGGGTCCGGGCCTCTGTTAAACTGGTCAGCTCTAAATTTGTTTGGCCAGGCCTTCGCAAATCTGTTAAGGAATGGGCGTCGGCGTGCATTCCCTGCCAGCGCGCGAAGGTTCATAAACACACCAAGGCGCCCCTGGAGCCGTTCTTTATACCCGGCAAACGTTTCGATCATGTGCATGTCGATCTGGTGGGTCCCTTGCCGCAGTCACAAGGTTTTACGCACCTTTTGACTGTTGTTGACCGGACCACCAGGTGGCCGGAGGCGGTCCCCCTGGCGTCCACTACCGCAGCAGTGGTGGCCAAGGCGTTTTTGTCGACCTGGGTCTCGCGTTTCGGCCCACCCGCGGACATTACGTCAGACAGAGGCCCCCAGTTCATTTCCGAGCTTTGGTCGGCCATGGCTGATGGACTGGGGGCTAAAGTCCACCGCACAACCGCATACAACCCGCAGGCTAATGGGATGTGTGAACGGTTCCACCGGTCACTGAAGGCTGCCTTTCGCGCCTCCTTAAAGGATGGCAATTGGGTTGACCGCCTCCCGTGGTTTTGCTTGGGCTGCGCTCTGCGGTTAAGGAGGATCTCGGCGCTTCCCCAGCTGAGCTAGTGTTTGGTCAGCCCCTCCGCGTGCCTGGAGAATTCTTGCCTGAAAATCCTCCTCCCTGCTTCGATCCATCGGTGCTCTCTCTCACCCCGCTTTTGCACTCGCTTCGGGTTCCTGGTCCGGTGCACCATTGCGTGCCTGACACCTTTGTTCCAAAGGCTTTAGAGACTGCTAAGTTTGTTTTTGTCAGGCACGATGCCCACAGGACACCGCTGCGGCCGCTGTATGACGGCCCGTTCAGGGTTATTGAACCGGGCCAGAAACATTTTGTTTTGGATTTTGGGGGTCGAAGGGAGACTGTGTGTGTTGACAGACTTAAACCAGCACATGTTCTTCCGGACAGTGATGTAGTGCCGGCCCAGGCCCCTCGCCGTGGCCGACCTCCTGCGCTGGGGTTGACAGTCTCTGGTTTTCCCCCCAGGACTACCCCCGGACCACCAACGTTTGAGCCTCCTCCTGCCTTTCCTGCTCGCCTTCACCAGCCTCGTTCACAGGATGGACCTTCCTCTGCCTGTTCTCTCCCTCCCAGGTTCAGTCGTGCGGGTCGTTTGCTTAGACCCAGGGTCCTGGACTGAATGGAGACCTGACTGTGTGTTCAAGGGGGGTATGTGTGGCGGACCACCAGGTGGCTCCACTCACACACAAGTTGAAAGGAAGTGTGGGGTGGAGATTTTGGCACTGACTATATGTGAAGTTCCGTCAGTTAATAAAGTTGTTGGAGTGAGACACTGAGACCTCTCCTGTCGTTGTTAATTACCTCCACAATATAATTAAACAGCCTTATTATTAGTCTTACCAGAAGCTACTCATGAGTCATGATTCTGGCTCAAATCCTAAATGGCTTCTAACCACACACACTATAAAAGATGCAGTTTCCGAGTGTGTAAAGTGAAGCCAGTGCTCACTCATCATCACATCCATTTTCGATGGTGAAAACACTCAGCTCGAGGTTACAAAAGGCATCACAGTGGCAACATCTCAAACCAGAAGGTTTAACTGAACCCAACCTGAAAAACAGTGGACGACCCATCATGTGTCCTGAATCACCCTTCATTAATGCTGGCGTCAAGCTATGATTGATGAGGAAGCAATTTTTAATCTTTAATTTAACACTCAAAGCGTCTGTACTTCAGGTTCTCTGCCTTTTAATGTTGTTACACATTCACACGAGGAACATTTAGCAGCCACTGCGGGAACTGCGCTTTAAAGGGGCTTTCAACTAAGGTTACGTATGAAATATATATGAAACGAAAGCAAATACGTGAGCAGGCACACAGGTGAAGTTAAAGGCAGACAGCATTTCTGACCTGTACAAACGTCAGCGTTGCTTTCTGCAGCAGACATTCAGCGTAGCAAAGCTCTGCGTGCATCTCTCCTGCAAACACACCAATGCAGCACACTGACTTCCAGCTCTCTAAATTTTCTTCACTTTCTGTAGACGTCAGTGGAGTGATGTGTGGGCATGTGTTTACAAACCTTCCTGCAGGTTGGACTGCTTGCTGATCAGCCCGGACAGAGATCCGACCATCGAGTTCTTCTTCCTGAACCTAGAGAAACAACGAGGAGACGTTAAATCTCATATTTAACCAGTCTCTACTGTTGCAGTTTGAGATGACATTAAACGTTGCTGTGCATGGGGGCCTAATTGTTCTCATTTGAAAGAGACTTTGAGATGAAGAACTAAAAGTATATAAAGTATAAAATTGCAATAAAACAATTAGTAGAAAAACCTCCTGTGGGTATTCCCATTTACTGAACCTTTGTTGAGTGTTTTCTTGTAACACTATGAGGATCATTTTCCCTTTCCCCTACAGAGACAGGATTGCTTGATATAGATTGTGATTGTGATATAGCTTTTTGAAATCATATTTTTTCTCCCTCATTTTTGGAACACAAAGCTACGGTATATATAATGTTCTAGAATATCTAATATCAGCGGTCTCCAACCTTTTTCGCGCCACGGACCCTTTTATGTCCGACAATATTTTCACGGACCGGCCTTTAAGGTGTTGCGGATAAATACAACAAAATAAAACCAGTACCGGTACAAAAAAGGAAGATTTATTCATAACACATGGGAAAAGACCCAGGGAAACAGAGTTAACAATAATAACGCTAAAAAAACAACGAGAAAAACCAATAAAACCAATAAAAACCATAAATTTCACACCCGAGCCTCAACTCTCGCGGCCCAGTGCCAGATGACTCACGGACCGGTACCAGTCTGTGGCCCGGGGGTTGGGGACCGCTGTCTAATATCATAAATGGCTTAAAAGACGGAGATAGCCACTGTGGCGTCACCCATTAGTTTGTGAAGCCTGGAGATTAGATTAGCGTTTTCACCTTGAACTTCTTGGTGTTCGGGACTGGCTGCCTGACAATCTAGATAACAACTTGTCAAATCAACAGCCAGTGAGTAGATCTTCGATAATTCTCCTTCATGAAACTTAGAATGAACAAAAAATTACAAAATGGATACATTTTTTATTTAATATGACCTGAAACTAATAACTGAAGCCCATAAGTTCATTGGGAAAGTGTTTTCAGAAGCCACACAGCAAGCGTACTGCTCTGTCAGAGTTCTTTAAACTGCATGTTATTCTGAAACCACAGCTATTGCTTCCTGCAGGCCGCGAACAGGAATGTGTATTTAAGGCACTTCAGCACTGGCTTCACTTTTCAGACTTGAACGTGCCCATTATGATGCAGCCACACAGCCCGGTCACCATTCATACAGTTACTCACTGCAGTGCCACTGCGCACACACAATCTCTGATTCAGCGCCAGAATTGGAGAAGAAAATGAAATTATCTGCTGCTGATTTTCTTTATTATTCTGGACAATTCAGGGCTCAAGGATGAGTCACTTTTTCCAGACTTTTCAGCCTCAGAAATCTTTTTGCAGCCACAGTGGTCGTACCCCAGTTTGTTTCATTACGTTATTACATGTTGTGAATGGACTGAAAAGCTTCCTCGCCCAGAAACATTAAGGCTATAAACAGGAAGAAGACCATGTTTTCCTGCCTCTCACCTCTGACAGGTGTGCAACGCCTCCTTGATGGTTGCCATGGCAGTCTGGATGTCTCTGTGCTCAAAGGTCATGGTCGCCTGCATCACCAGGATGCTGCTGTATCCCAGAGCGTGGTACATGCTGTCCCTCCACCTGCGCACAGCAGCAGTCATTAATGTTGTTCCTAGAGTATTTAAAAGTAGAATGGGAGGCAGAGCCTTCAGTTTTCAGGCCCCTCTTCTGTGGAACCAGCTTCCAGTTTGGATTCGGGAGACAGACACTATCTCTACTTTTAAGATTAGGCTTAAAACTTTCCTTTTTTCTAAAGCATATAGTTAGGGCTGGACCAGGTGACCCTGAATCCTCCCTTTGTTATGCTGCAATAGATGTAGGCTGCCGGGGGATTCCCATGATGCATTGAGTTTTTCCTTTCCAGTCACCTTTCTCACTCACTATGTATTAATAGACCTCTCTGCATTGAATCATATCTGTTATTAACCTCTGTCTCTCTTCCACAGCATGTCTTTATCCTGTCTTCCTTCTCTCACCCCAACCGGTCGCAGCAGATGGCCCCGCCCCTCCCTGAGCCTGGTTCTGCCGGAGGTTTCTTCCTGTTAAAAGGGAGTTTTTCCTTCCCACTGTCGCCAAAGTGCTTGCTCATAGGGGTCATATGATTGTTGGGTTTTTCTCTGTATCTATGAAGCGCCTTGAGGCGACTTTTGTTGTGATTTGGCGCTATATAAATAAAATTGAATTGAATTGAATTGAATTAATAACAGGGAGCTACGACTCAGACACTAGAGAAAGAGAGAGGTGTAACGAAGCAGCGCGAGGTAACGACTGCTGTGGTTACCATGGTTTGAGGAGATCCAGGGCTTGAGAAAACTTGTTGTTGAGGACCAGGTTGAGAGCACACTGAGTCTCCTGGATGGCAGTCTGCAGATCCATGCTACCCGCCCTACACAAAGGCAGAACCAGCAGTCAGCACAGAGCGTGACTAAAAGTGAAAGATACACAGGAAACGATGCTCACACACACACACTCAGTCTGTGCGCTGCAGGTGTGTGTGTGTGCATGTGTGTGTGTACTCACGCAGGTATCCGATCAAAGGCATCTTCGAAGCAGTCCTGAAACACAGAAACACAGAGTTTAGTTCTCAGCATCCTCCTCCAGGTGACAGAAAGGCCTGTGAGACGTCTGATTGGACGCGATTCTAAAGCACCACATTTCATTTGTACAATGTGTGTAATCAGCAACAAGTTTGCACTGCTCGGGAATTACTGGAAGGCTACATGACCCGAATCCTGAACCACGCCGCCATGACTCTGACCTACTCGAGGGCTCTGTGAAACCATCGGGGTCATTTCAGAACTGAACCAGGAACTATTCATTCACCGCCACACACGCTGGGAACAAAAAGAAAACCATTTTTATCTCATTCTTCAAAGTGATGTAAAGAATCCATCAGGTTTCAGTCTGAATTATATCCTATAAAATAATACCAGAGTCTTTTGACTGTTAAGTAATTGTAGTTTGCGTTTAATCGAACTGCTTTAAATTTTTAGTGTAGAATGAAGTTATTTCCAACTATCCAGGCAATGTTCTATTTAATTTTTATTTATTTATTTTTTGGGTCTTGTAAATTTATTCCAGTTTTTTTTATTTTTAACCTTTCAGACACTACTTTTTGAGAGTTATTCAAGAGTTTTCGAAGCTTAAGGTGTCTGGATTTTCCAAATTGTTATCAGTGACTTCTCGAGTTGTCACAATTCAGGGCTTCCTCTTAAAAAGCCTTTGAGATTTATTCCTGAGTAATCAAGGGAATACAGGACTTATGATAAATATTCTGACAATTGTAAGAGCTTTTCAAACTTTTTGCAATTTTTCTGCCTTTTCACGATTTTGCACAAATTTCAGAGTTATTCCAGTTTTGGGGGAATAGTGTGTCAGTTTTATGGACCTCCCAGGGCTATTCGAGAGTGCCTGGATTATTCCTAAATTTCAGGTTTTTCGTTTGTTTGTGTTACTGAGACTTTTCAGCGTTTGCGGGGCGTGTTCCAAGAATGCCCTATATTCCTACACTTTTCAGTTACTATGCTGTAAAGTGTTACAGCCCCGAGAAAGCAGCCATAGAAATTAAAATATGAATAGTTGAGAGCGTTTCCATCATTCAGTGTAAGATGGTTTCTCTGAAGTCTGGAATTTGTGTTTTATATTTTAGTAAATACCTGCAGTGCTAATAAGGGTCACAAGGGTCATACATGGCTTAACATGAGTAATAACAATCATGCTGCAGAGCATTAATTCATTAGGCTAATTCAAGGTTTTCCATTCATTTCAATGCAGTCAGCGATTCAGGGAAGATTGCTGTTAGAGGAACTGCTGCCCATTGCTTAATGCTAAGACCTGAACCCTAGAATTAGGTTCGAAACTCCAGATGTTTGAAAGACAATATTTCTAGCATAAATCCAAAAACACTTTTACACACATCTACACGTGTAAGCACGACTGCAACACTTCAGAGGTCTCAACTATGAAATATAAGGATTCATATATGTGCGTAATGGTGTAAACAGATTTGTGTCCACACTACATAAGTAACATTTACACAGCATGTCAGCAGCAGGCTAATAATAGCTACACAGTGGCTCCTTACATAATAGGGTGCAGCTGCAGTCAGCGCTGTAAAGTAACTCTGCCTGCAGGCAGCAGCTTCTCACTGCTCCACATTGGAGCACTGTGACCCATCTAACCACAAAACATATATTTAAATCAAAAAGATATAAAAGAAAAGAACCAAAAAGTGAATCATTGTGAGTTAATAAGAACACAAAAATATCATAGAAATGTGGAAAAAAGCCTTGGAAAGAGAAAAGAACAAAAAGTGACTACATAAAGAAGTGAAAACAAATATACAGAGACACAAAAACACCCCAAAAAGAAGCAAGACTAGTAAACAGACAAGGTATGTAAAAGAAAAAAGCAGGAATTAGAGACATGAAGAAAATACCTATAAATAAACAAATAAATAAAAGTGCTAAACTTCAATAAAGTACCATACCACCTTTATTTATAAAGCACTTTCACATAAAACCAGGGTTCACAAAGTGCTGTTCAAATAGCACAAGCAAAGTAAAAGTAAAATAAAAAAATAAGATAAAATATGTTAAAACAAATTGAGTTAACCTCTTAATATATTTTAAGAAGCGTTTTAAACTCAGAAAGAGAAGAGGTCTGCCTAACGTGCAAGTACTAAGAAAAGACACAAGAAGTTAAGCAACAAATGAGTTTAAAGACACACTCACAGAAACAACCACAAAAAAGCAAAACAGCTAGAAAGACTTAAAAGCAATATAAATACAAAGTATCAAAATAATCACGAAAACATTCAGCAGAAACAAAAATTACTACAAAGGTGAAAAAATAAAAATGAGTACAAAAAGACTTTAAAAGTGGATCTGTTCATTTTGCCAGTGTTTTACCTCATTTTGATTGTGGTTTTCCTCTTTTTGGGGGTTATTTTATGTGGTTTTGAGGGCATATTTACTGAGAGTTCAAATGGCTTCAAAGAAACAAATTGACAAGAAAGAAAAATAAATTTAAATAAATTCACAAGAACAAAAAATAAAACATCAACAAAGAGGCAGAAAAAGTTCTTATTGCAAGCAAACCGCAACAAAAAAAAAAAAACAGCACAAAAACACATTACTGAAAATAATGAAGGCCTCAAAAAATACATAATCAGAACTGACAACCAGAAAAAACTAAAAATATAGAATAAAAGAAAAAAACAAAATCAAAAAAAGAGAAAAAGTCAAAATCATGGACAAGCAAACATCGATAATAAAAGAAAAAGAAAGACTGGAATAAGTAAGACGGGATTAGCACAAAAAGTAGAAAAAAAATTAAAATATATACACGAGTAAAAAAGAAAATAACCATGAACCACCACATTTCACGCTTTGACTCATTTAAATTTAACGGTAGAATTTTTAATGAAACAACAAAGTAATGCAAGTATATCAGACGTGTCAATCAGACATGTGCACAGGAGCAAATAAAGGACATTAACATGTGCTGAGTGTCAGCATCCCTGAAGGTTAAAAATGGTTTTTACAAGAATTACAAACTCTACGGAGTGACTCTTCCTGCAGGCAACAGCTTCAAGTCTGATTTTTCTGACATGTTTACATAACTCACTACAGCCCTGTGTGTGTCTTTTACCCTGAGAGAGAGGCCTTTAAATGAAAACAATGGAAAACGAGACACAGGACAGAACACAGAAGAATAATAGGAGGCAGAAAATTACTAAAATACGAGACATAATCCCTTCAGAAGTAACATTTGTAAAAAGTTTCTTTTTAAGTTAAAAACAAAACCCCACAAAGAGAATCAATTACCTCCAATGCCCAAGAGACAAAACTAACCACACACAACAAATACAAACATGACAGAGGCCAAAAACCAACCAGAAAAAGAAATGAAATAATGGAGAAACTAAAAATGATTAAAAGTACATTAAAAAAAAGATCAAACACAATCAAAAAGACATAAAGGGCCCACAAAAAACAGAAACGATGCTATCAGAAAGAGCATAATTCCCACAAACATAGATGCAAAGAAAAATATCCAAAAAACTAACAGAAACACGTAAAATGCCATCAAAAAGAAACAAAATTCCCACAAAAAGAATTAAAGCAAATGTAAGCAAGCAGCAAAGCAGCAAGAAGCAAAATGTCAGCAAACAATGTAAAATAACCCCCAAAAAGAGGAAAACCCCAATCAAAATAAGGTAAAAAAGTATGTATGTATAATGTAGAAAGATGAAATCAAAATGAGGTAAAAAACTGACAAAATGATCAGAGTATGTAGAAAGTTTTTATTGGCTGAATTATGGACCGTGTGTTATTTTATGTGCAAGTTTTTCTCTGTTTGAAAGTGAGGTGGAGAAAATGTAGCAGATGATGGAGGAGGAGGAGGCCGGCTGCAGTCAACAGAATATTTTCACAAAACTGGAAAAGTCCAAAAGTAAAAATGTGTGAATCCAAACAGACGTTGCTTCCTAACTCTTTTCATTCCAGCAGATGCTCCGTGTGGCATTCCCCTCTCGCTCTGTCAATGTTTTGGTCTGTTTGCGACATTCATGGCTAAGGAACAGCTAGCGATCACAGTGAATAAGACCTGGTTATGTTGTAACTCAGACCTTGCCAAAGTGTGGGGCTGGGGGGGGGATGAAATGGGGGGAAAAAAAGCAAAAAAAGAAACAACAACGCTTGGACACTGCTAGCACGGGGCGCCCACAGAAACGCAAAGCAGGAGGTGAAGCATCGCTGAATATGTTTCCAAACAAACTATCTTCCAAGCCAAAGACTAGAAAATATGGTGAAGCAAATCTTCTCTTTGGTTTCACCTGCACAAGTGCCGAGGTAGGTCTCCCCTGCAGGATTGGTTTCCCCTGCGTCGGGAGCACGGACTGGGCTCTCCAAATCACAGACAAACAGTATCCCACATTCTTGATTTTTAGTTCACAAACACTTCTCATAACGACTAACTACTCCTGACATTTTGGAGATGTTAGCTCTTTATACAGTAAAGTTACAGCAGGATACAAATAACATCAGGCTGATCCTGCCACGATTTGTTCCCTCGGTTCAAATCACGGACAAACAGTATCCCACAGCTGTTTATGTTTTTAAACCCATTTTGCACAGAGAGGCCTTTTTTGAAATATTTTTCTTGTAAAACAAAGGGGGGCCTAGCAAAAAAAGTTTGGGAACCACTGTTGTAACTACAGCTGATAAAGTTATTTAAAGCAGAAAGCTAAGTTACATTATCAGCCCCTAGCATTTGGATGAATCAGCTAATCTTACTCAAGATTTAGTTTTCTTGAAATACTTTCAGATTTGCTTGTGTTAACACCTTTGGGATGACTTATAGTGGAGACTGTGACTATGTGATTAGGTAGAGGATCATCAGGGGGTCCTTTGTCCCTCTTTGAGGGGAAACTCCCACTGGGTTTAAATCTGGGACCTTAGAACTGAAGAAGCTTCTCGGATGAGAGGTGAAACATCTTCAAGCAACTTAAAGAAGTCCAGACGCTTTTCTTTCCAAGCTCCTTAGACAGTCT